AACAAGAATAAAGGTTGGGAAAGCAGATGTACAATCTAAATAGTATCTTTCACTTTTTGAATCAGAGCCATAGGAAAAAAATTGGGAGTGGTATGGCTTTTTGCTGCACATGAAGCGCGCAGCAAAAAGATGCCCTAATTATTTATAAGGGGTGTGGTCAATTAATTATCATAATTTTATTGTTATTATCAAGGTTATGGTTATTGATATTTAAAAGTGAAACCTTGGAAAGAACGGTGTACTACTTTTGTTTTAGCAAAAGAGTGCTCTGGGAAGGTCAGGCAAACTCAAAGAAGAGCTGCTTCTACTACTACAAGCCATGCTGGTGTCTGATGCAGAGGGTGTCTGGTTTTAATTAATTAAAAGTAGATTAACTTTAATATAAATGCCCCCTCAACGCCATTTTAGATTTTTGGTCCGGCCAAAACCATAGCAACCGTACTGTCTGCTACGGTCCTGTTTGGAATAATTAGCATGCTAAACGAATGAACATTCGAATAATTGAACTGTTATTGCTGAATGATTATAAACTACTTTTTTGGTGTCAAACTTTTCAGAATGAAGCCAAACAGGGCTTCTGAGATTAAAAACCACTTTGCCTGACCTCAGTATCAGTTTTAGTGAGTTGGTTAGTAAACAGACCAACAAACAGGAATCCTGTGCAGGTGACATGTGGTGGGCATGGCCATTAATTATTGCAATAGCATTAATAATTCATTATGTGAATAGTTCGAATAGCAAAAAACTATTCAAATATTGCTATAAACGAGTGAATATTGATGCATACACTGCCTCCAAATCTACATTAAATTGCATTGAAAGGGCTGTTAAATGTTCAAAAAGAAGAAACTACAACATATAGTAAGGAATAGATATAATAACATTTAAGTTACATAGATAATGATCAGCTTGATAAGGAAGGGAATTTAGTGCTGAGGATTGTTATGATGTTGATGAGAGCACTGAAGCAGTTGAAGACGAGTTAGTGGAAGTACAGAGAGATGAGGAACTAAATGAGAATGTAGAATTAGAGGAAGATGAGGAACCAAATTTGTTGATTGCGACTAATGAAGGTCATACAGAGGAAGATGAGGAACCAAGTCCGTTGATTGCGACTGATGAAGGTCATACAAAGGAAGATGAGGAACCAAGTCTGTTGATTGCGACTGATGAAGGTCATACAGAGGAAGATGAGGAACCAAGTCTGTTGATTGCGACTGATGAAGGTCATACAGAGGAAGATGAGGAACCAAGTCTGTTGATTGTGACTGATGAAGGTCATACAGAGGAAGATGAGGAACCAAGTCTGTTGATTGCGACTGATGAAGGTCATACAGAGGAAGATGAGAAACCAAGTCTGTTGATTGTGACTAAAAAGGTATACAGAGCAAGATGAGGAACCAAGTCCGTTGATTGCGACTAATGGAAGTCATACAGAGGAAGATGAGGAACCAAGTCCATTGATTGCGACTAATGAAGGTGATACAGAGGAAGATGAGGAATCCAGTCCGTTTATTAATGATGAAGGTTTTTCGTGTAATAGTTCAGCTACACAAGATACCTATGATCATGAGACTCATGAAGAATTACATGGAGTGGCTCAGGACTTGTCTGAAGAAGTATGTGACTTGCAGTTAGAAAATGAGT